AAATTGGAAAATTCATAGTTTATATTTTTAAATTCATATCTCCGTTGTAATCGTAGTTGTACCGCTGTCGCTACGGGAAATAATTTTAAGAGCGATTTTTTTTGCATCTTCTCTTTTCAACGAGTCTAATGATTTCTGATACGTGCGATTTTTATTTTGCAAGCAGCTTTTAAAAGAAAAAGTCGATGTTTGTTTTTAGAATTATCATCATTACGCCTATTGCTATTTATAGTAATCATTTGAAGTTGTGCTAGTCAATCAATTGGATTCCATCCAACCCTGTCTACGATCAGTGACGGTTCGTGATTAATGTTAACTCGTCCATGTTTTGATTGTCCTCTTCATAGAACCAAACTTATCCATAACATTTTCATCATTTTTTAACAGATAGTATTAGGACATTGAATTTAGAGGAAAGGTCTTGATTATTTTTAAACTTAATTTCTAATACCTACCAAATTATTTTGTTTCGCTTTTAATCTTTCATTTAATTCTAAATTATTTTATGCAAAAAATTCCAAAAAGGATAACGCACTGTTTAGATCTTTGTAGTCGTTTCTTAACCAAATAACAAATAGTACTATTCTAAGTGGAGGAGCAGTATAAAGAACTGATTCACTTCGTTCTTCTTGTCTTTTCCTACCGTTACTTATTGATACTAAAATGGAGTATCAAAACTTCAAGGATAATAACTGACAAATAGATCGGTTGCCTAGATACTAGAGATGTTAAGAGGATTTGATTCCGAATAAGTTGGAACTTCCGATTTCGACTTCGGTTCCGCTACTTTTAAATCGGAGGTTTTAAAATCGAAGGTAGAAGTTTATGGGTGGCGTGGCCAGCCAGTGCCAGCGCGAACGATCATATTTATACTTGTCGCGCGGGGAATCCCGATTACTATTTCACTTGGTTGTTTCAGATTTTGTGCATTCGCGTTTTAATTAATCTTATCCAAGTCATTAATAAGTGTTGATGTGTTTAATTTGACATGCAACAAATATATTTCAGTTAAACAATGAAGACAAAAACAAGTGTGAATACAGCAATGTGTAAACTTTGTGAGAAGATTAATTATTCACGAAGTAGATTGGACGGAGATAAAGACGCGAAACTTTTGTGCATTAAGTAGAATTTGCTTCTCTTAGAGTCGCTAGGTATTAGTAATGATTAAAATTCAAAAAAATTTAAATTTTTTAAAGAAAACTTTTAGATTTGACATCCGAACGACTACTGATGACCAATTTATTTCAACATAGTTCAATTCAAATAGATTTTTATATTTCAATCGTAAAGTTACAATAAATAAAAAATTCAGATCTTTATATTTTATTTTCTTTCTCATTCCATATTCGATAACGATATGACCTAAAAATGGTTACGCTTGTTGCATATCAACAAATGAAAAATAATCAATGTACAATGGCATGTTATCCACCTACACTTTATGGTGCATAAAACAAACAAAACATGTATGTGGTAACCTTTACTATACCTACATACCTACGTTGCTTTTAAGACTTTCCCGTACGCAACCGTAATAAGTTTATACTAGTTATTTTCTAAATAAAAAACACAATATGGAAAGCTGCTACCTCTTACGAAACGTTTGTTTCTTCCTTAAAGGGTTAAGTACAATTGATTGTGATTGTTCGATAAAAGTTCAAGATATCCGTATTTAATCAGATGTACTTATAAATGTATCGAAACTTTCTCTTTACTATGAAATGAGAATCTCAGCAATAGGTAATTACATATGTTCTTCTTGTCATACGCTATTAGTGATAAGCAAAATTGGTTTTATAGTCTTGGTATTGGTCTTGCGAAAATACAAAACCAATACCATGACCAAGACTGTCACTATACCAGCAAGACTAAAACCAAGACCGAACGAACAAGACCAGGACTAAAACCAAGACTGAACGAAAAAAACCAAGACTAAAACCAAGACTGAACAAATAAGACCAAGACTAATCTAAGACCGAACGAACAAGACCAAGACTAAAACCAAGATTGAATTTGCAAGACGAAGACCAAATACGCAAGACTAATCGAAAAATTATTACATCCGCTGGATTTATGAGTTAAACTATTTGAAGCAACTTTAATGTGTTCTTTTCTTGGAAAAAAACTTTTCTAGTATTTGAAGTTTTCAGTTTGTTTTACTAGATTTTAACATAAAATATAAAATAAATAAACTTTACCACTGTTTGACAAAAGAAATTTACAAAAATATCTTCAAAGTGTTCTTTGTTCGTATGTCTGGATAACACATGGTTGAAATACAGAGACAAACTAATTGTTTTTCGATATTTTTTATTTAGTTCAAGTACCTTGTAGTATTTTGTTCGCTAAAAAGTCAATCATGCATTGGAGGAAGGGTAAGTTCTCGAGTTTTCATAACTCTCACAAACATCGACACTGTTTTCTTTAAAAGACATGACAAGCTCGCATGTATGACAGAAAATTGCACCATTTAAGACAATTATTATGTGAGGAAATAGCAAAATTTGTACTTAGAAGAATTATTAAAAAAAATGTATGCATCAGATTAAATGAGTAAGACCAAGTCTTAACACGCAAGACCAAGACCAAGACACGACCAGTACCAAGACCAAAATCAAACAAACAAGACCAAGACTAATTCCAAGACTGGGTCAGTCGTGCTTTCATGAGCCTCTTCAGGGAACAAGAAAAGGTCACATGTGTGAGCAGGGCCCAGAGGCGAATTAAATGTCGAGAGCGCCCTAGGCTATCACCTCGTAGACGCCCCTCTGGCGGTTATATACTTTGCCAAATAATTTTTGGAAACAGATACTTTCTTATATATATTTTTTACTTTACCGCCCGTGCCCCTTTCTAACCTTGCGCCCTAGGCATGTGCCTAGTTTGTCTTGTGGATAATCCGCCGCTGGCAGGGGCGTTATCATGGTGCAAAAGCCAATTTTTTTTTCTTCCACAAATCCGGGCGTTTCTGGCGGATTGCTTCGCGCAAATTGCGCATAACTTGCGGGTAATATTACTTATTGACCGTTCTACCCTGTGACAACAACTCATGATGCATCATACCCCTACAATCGAAGAAAACTGTAAAACCTTCACATTCGATCTAACTTGGGGAGCTTTTTTCGGCATCTTCCATTGGAATGATTGACCTTTGGTTTCCACATTATATCCATAAACCCATGATTCGTAAGCAGTTATGACCTTTTCCTTAACAATGTCAATGCGATACTGTTTTTGGTCGAAATTGAGCAATTTTGGTACGAATTTTGCGGCCACCCATCTCATGCCCAGATTATTGGTAAAAATCGAATGGTAGGAGTCAATCGATATATATATAGATTCTCAGCAACTTTCTAATGATGATTCGACAATTGGCCAACACTATTTTCTTCAATTCATCAATGTTTTCGCCTGTTGTTGACGTGCTCGGGCGTCCGGCACCGTCTTCGTCATTCCCATCTTCTCAGCCCTCTGGCAACATTTTGTACCACCGATAAACGTTGCTTCGGTCCAAGATAGCTTGACCAAAAGCCGCAGACAACATTCGGAATGCGTCTGCTCAATTAATTTTGTTTTTCACACAAAATTTGATACAGATTCTTCGATCCATCTTTTGGAATAGGTAAAAATCGAAGACAAGCCAGAACATGTGCAAGCAAAGTACCTGTCAAAAATTAACTGAATATTCAACATGGCCGAACTTGTCGGTATAAGTGAGACATGATTACCAAGTTAATGCCACAAAGAAATCGAAAATCGAATATACGTGGACTACACTTCCGTTTCCCAGGGAGCATCCACCCACTTGTTATATTTCTTGTATTTATTTCATTTTAAAGCCTGATGAGTTGTTTTATTTTATTTTTTACTAAAACAGAAGTGTCAAATAGATTTCAACTCCAGTCATATCTCGTAGCTTTTGCATTTATTTATATTCTATATCGCCATTAATGCAGTATAATACAAGTTTTCATTTTAATGAATTATGTATTATATTCCGTTGAATATTAATTAGTATATTAAATGTCAATAGATTATGCTTAATTAATATACAAGCCTTGTTTAAATTTATAATAAGATGGATCAGTTCGAAGTTACTATATGTTAGGTGTTACCTATAGGTAAGTATTATTACGTTATATATTATATTATATAAAAATGTTCATTATAAATTATGTTGCAATTTTTTGATAGTTTGAAAATTTCAATCAAGTAGTTATAATATAATGTTAAGAACTTTAATTTAACATTAAGAATAAAATAAGTCGAAGTGGTCTGTATTCTGTCGAAACTGCCAGCAGGCAGCTCCGACAGAACACAGATCAACTTTTACCTGCTGTCTTAACAGTGCGTTTTAGAAAATACCACAACTGGCGCGGTAAACGCCATCTGTAGTACGATGCTACATTTTAGGATTACGTATGCTCCAACAAGGTCCATTTAAATGTATGGATCAACGTGATATCACATTGAGGTAAGCTACGCCGGGATTCGTTTCAGCAAGTAGATATCGCAGGTAGGTATTGCACCTGTTGACCGCAAATGATAAAACTTCATGACCAATAAAACAATACAGGGAAATTGATTGAAAATACAGTGAAATACCAATTTTACTGTTTTTTGACCATTATATTAAATAATCATATTTTATCATTGGTGCCTTCTAAATCTCTTTGAATATTGAGAAGTCCTAATCCATTCAATGATTTAATGGTTGTTCTCAAGTCTTTTTGCATATATATGACCAGTCATTTATTGTTAGTGCTGGCAGTGTTGCATCGATCTGAAGAGTTTTGGGATTCCCCAAAAGATGGTTATGCTAAGTGGCGCCTTCACGCTGCATCTGTCAGAAGTCAAAACTATAAGTGTAGCCATATTTTCAATTGATAGTTAAATTTCAATTAGGAATTGTATTCTCATCTAACTCAAACTATAAGTAAATAAAAATTACTGAACATACAATTTTTTTTAAACATTTCTATTTCTAATTTTATTAGTTATTTATTAAAACAAAAAACATTCTTCCTCACATTGCATTAACTTCACAAAACATTTATGTTCAAAATAGTATTTAAAAAGAATATCCCCATTTCTTTATCCACTTAAGTCCTTCTACAGTATCGCCCACTGGATGATATTCCAGACCCACATAGCCTTTATAACCTACGTGATCAATTAAATCAAACACGTATTTATAGTCAATTTCCCCAGGTGTGTCTGGTTCATTTCTACTGGGAACTTGAGCGACTTGGATGTGACCTATATCGTCTATTGAGTCCCTGATCAGGGTCGTAAGGTCACCCTGGATTTGTTGAGCATGAAAAATGTCCAATTCAAGTTTCAAGTAAGGACTGTTGATCGCACGGATCACTGATAAGGCTAAGGAGTAGAAAATTTACCTTACAATCAAGATCAAAACAATATAAACGGTTATGTTACTTATTTAAAGTGGTCAAACAGAATGTGATTGACTAATCCAGACAAAATCATTTAATACATATTTTACAACGGAGTTCCTAAAAAAAAATAGTTTCGTTTTTTATTAGGTAAAGTATTTGTCAATGGTTGTTCCATTTAAATTTAAATATTCTACTTCTAAGGGTGGAATGTTGGAGGATGATTCCCGTTTTTAACTTTTTAGTTTAAGTTTGCACTTATTCATACAGGCAACATTGGATTTACACCAGGGACACTAAAGGCTAGTGTCCAGCTCGACAAATCTCTAGATGCGATAAAATTCGATGCTTCAGAAAAAACAAAAAAGGAATGTTTCTTGTGGAATCATCCCAATCATAGTAAAATATTTTCAACAACAAATCAATTATTTTATTTATTTAAAACAACTTTGGAAAACAGTTGACCAGCTCAAATCATTCGAAAATTGAGCTCTTAGAGCTTAACAATCCGATAACTGTTTCAAATTATGTCATTTTAAAATTTTGGAAGAAACATCTTTTAAATGAATCGGCCGATTGAGATACGATCCATAGATGAGGCCCAAATTTCAATTTCATTAGCAAATCGAACGTCATTAAAAAAAAATTTTTTTTGAAACTTTTGATCAACAATGTTTTCGAATGGATCAACTGGTTTTAATTGGATTTACTGCATTCGAGGCAGTTTCTTGAGCTTTCGCTTCCTATGAACTCAAAACGTCGAGATCTAATGAATATTTGATTTTCGTAAATCGGCCTGAAATCAATAACTTCCTAATTTTGAAAAATTAGTGCTTTTTACAGCGGAAAGTCATAAAGGGTTCTGAACCGTCATCTATTTTGGGTAGAATATGGGCAATAGGGCGGCATTTTTTACGGTGCCCAGGGTGACACTAAGGAAAAGTTCGGTCCTACATATAGGCATACGTTTGAAGTCGTAATAAGTATAGGTACTTGATAACACTTTGAACTTATGAAATAAAAATGAAAAATTTAACGTCAGAACAAGTACCTTTGTTAAATATTTTCAAAACAACAGCTTTAACTAAGTTTTCATTCGAATATTAATAATCTTGAAAGTAGTTCTTGTATATTTTTAAGATTTAGCTTGAAATGTATTTTCAAATATAATCACCACTTTGCGCAGTGTCTACCTATATTCCTGACATTAGTAAAGTAGAGATTAGTATCCTTATCATTTAATTTATTACCTATTTACCTACTATGTGATTAATGTAAGAATGCATGTGCGTCATCAACATATGTAATCCGTATGAATCAATCCGCTCGATACTAACTGATGAAGTTTATATTTGTTTGTCAAATATGATATAAACTACGTAAATTACATCATTTTCACTGCAGTGAAGTGGAGTGAACGTAAGTCATAACCAACATGATACGCTTTTCACATACGTTCCACCCTTATATGCTTTTTGCAATTTGAAAGCATATGAAAAAGAATACGTACCGTATGTCGATGAATAATTGGTTCACACGCAATCTTATCAGGGTGCGATAATATTGTATTATTACTTTTAAGATTGCCTGTGCATTATCAACATAGTCTGTACGAAACAATCTGATCAGTACTCGCTGAAGTTAGCAACAGTAGATATTGATAGATATTTTCCGTTCATTTAGAGAAAGGTACAGTGTAGGTGATGCACACAAATAAATAAAGGTCGCAGGCAGGTCTCCGGAATATGACTGGTCGTTTATAGTCAGATGTTTCTGATCAAAGCCTAATCGTAAACTTCTGCCGCCATAACTAATGTCTGAGAGTTATGTCTGCGTATCACGATCTACCACTGTATACCTTTCTCTAAGTGAACGAACTTTATTCGTATTTTGAAATATACAACTGAGATTGTAAACGATAATCGTGATACTGATATTCAAAAATAACTAATGGAAAATATCCCAGGTACAGTTCTTATAATTCAAAAAATTTCAAATGTAAATATTTTAAGCAAATATGAAAGACAATTTGTGACGTATGTGAATAAATAATTGATCCATGCAATCGTATAATAATAAGATAATAATAATCCTAATTATTTATTAATACATACCTCTTTGAATGCTTCTCATATAATATAAGGGACGTGTATTTTTGGTGATTGGCTCAAGAACTGCAACAATGCCCGCTTTTTCAAAAAGTGGCAATGATTCTCTGAGATTTTTTACGTATGTGTCGTGGTGTTTGACGGTAATTGGTTCTGTTACATATCCTGCAGCTACGTGAATTCTGAAAGTAGTTTTTGAGTTTCGCAAGTTAAAGTAACACCTTGTAAAATAATTCTTGCATATTTCATACACTAAAAAGATATATGTATATTGTACTTACACTTTACTATTTAATGCTTTTGCATATTCCAAACTTTTTAGTAAATATTCTTTGAATTTCTCCTCTTGTCCTGGTAATGCCGCAAAACCAAATTCTCCTTTGCTCAGATCTCCTAATAAATAAATATAATGGTAATCTTTTTTTTTTTTGGCAAAGATAATTAAGTATTTTTAAGACATTCGTTCAGGAAGAGTTAGAGAAAGCTTTACTGTACTGAGAAATCAGTACTGTATGAAAATAAATAAAAGTAAAACAAAAATACTGGTATGCAGGGGAAGGAACGAATATAAAGATAGGGGACTAGGGGACGAAAAATTAGAAGAAGTGGTCGATTTTAGGTATCTAGGAAGTCAGATAAGTCAGGATGGAAGGAGTAGTAGGAATATAAAACAGAAGACAGCCCAGGGTCGAGTCGCCTTCAATAAAAAGAAGTCATTGCTGTGCTCGCGAACGGGTAATTTAAAAATTCAAAAAAAGTTAAAGGTGTATGTTTGGCGCTGTATGGGTGCGAAACATGGACAGTGGGCGCGGCGGAAAACAAAAGGTTAGAAGCGTTCGAAATGTGGTGTTACAGGCGAATGATGAGGATACCGTGGATAGAGAAGGTTAGAAATAAGGAGATATTAGGAAGAATAGGAGAAGAGAGGACTCTAGGGAAGTCAATAAGGAATAGGCGAGATAGAGACATATTAGAGGCAGAAAAGGACGTTAGCAGGGGTAGAGATAGACCTAGGTTAGATTACTGTTAACAAGTAGTTAAGGATATGGGTTGTTCTTTTTACAGGGAAATGCGAAGTTTAGCTCAGGATAGGAAAGAGTGGAGGTACGTGTCCAACTAGTCTTAGAACTGACAACCTTATGATGCTGATGACATTCATGGACAAAAGGTTTCTTCACACAGCGAATATAAAATACTTTCATAACAGACGGTACATAAATGTTAGGTTGTATTGTCTTTATCCCTGAAATCAAGAAATATTGAACTTTCCGAGTAGAGTAGGTTAATAAATTGTATAAGCATCTCGAGAAGAAAGTACTGCACCCCTCCGAGAATTTATCACCCATTTTCACTTTAGGATTGTAAAAGAACGCCAACAAAAAATACTTGAAATATCACAAAGCAATCGATAGAATTAGTGTTTTGTACAACTTTTTCCGACTCTAACGATATTTATAAAGATTGCTTAGGCATATTTTCAATACCCAGCGCGTTTTCGTTTCAACAGGATCTTTTACTAAAAATTAGCAAGTTTGATTACTTTAGTTGGAAATAAACAGTTGCAAAAAAGTGGACACGCCTAAATGTCTTTAACCTAGTGTATAGCTGGTTGTATACATATTCTAATCTCACGTTATAACCATAGAGATAATAAAGCACAGTAGACAAGCTCGTCTTAAGAAGAAAGAAACAGAAAATAAATGGACCCTCTCTGTAGCTCTTTTGTCTCTGCTTTTGTTTCATTCACATTCTTGTGCCTGCCAATCAGAAGCGCCAGAGAAGAAAGGAGTCTCATTATTTTTTATCTTACGTCTCATGACCACTTACAGGGCTGCATAAGACTTTCTTACTTTACCCTATTATCTCTATGGTTGTAACAATCAAATTCGGATGTATTGTTGATTGCATAGCTATACATAAATGTTGAAGATGTAAATGTTGTACATTACTTACACCGGGTAAACACCTATTACCATTAGACGTACATAGTAGGGTCTTGGAGTATTTAAAACTGAATTCAATTTAAGAACTTTGGAATATAAAAAAATTAAAATAAGCGCAGACTTTTTTAATAACAGTTTATAATAATTAGGAACTTTGAGAGGATATGATAATGAGGAGCAAATATATAGATTATTCTATAAATGTGAAATTCCAGATTGGCTGTTTATAATACTCATAATTGTATTTTATCTACTCACCTCTGAAATCATCAAAATGATGTTGGTAGACTCCCGCCTCTTTAACAACTTTTGTTATTTCTTGAATCGATATATTATCGGGAATCCCCCCTTCAACTGCTTGAAAACCAGCCGCTTTGGCAAGCTTGTGCCTTTGCAAAAAAGGTACATTCGGAAAAAGGTATCCTAAATGAGCTGAAAATTTAGGCATCTTTCCAAATTTCACTGGCAACGGTATAATATGAGAACGAATACAATAACTGATGAATTACAGCTTTGTTTTGTAGTTATATTTAAAGATAGATGTTTACTCCTTCATATCATTCAAAAAGATAACAAAGTACTTTGAAAATATACATATACGTACGTAAAGATAAGTTCTTATAGTCGAGTCGTTGAGATACTAAAAAAAAACACTTATGTTGCTACATACATGCCACCTTTTGAAACTGACCTTGCTAATTTGTTGTATTTTATAGAATTTATTTTCTTGGAACAAAAAAAGACAAAAAATTAAGTTGATCCGAAAAGCATTCCCTTTTAGTTTCAATAAAAAAGTTAACTACCAGAAAAATAAAACAAATTAAGAATACGAAATTCCTAAATAATACATAATTTCCAATTTTTATAAGAAAAGCATAATTGAAAAATGGGGTCACTCGTGGGGATCCATAACACAAGGACCCAATGCATATCGTATTGTATTACTTGTATCACCTTATTGGATCAGTTCTGGGTGAACCACTGTAAAGAGTAAAATTTCGCGAGCCCAAATTTGGATGTTGATTAAAAATAAGCCAATTAACGAAAGATTTCCATCGATGACATAGAAACCCATTTTTGTCAAACCACATATCATCTTACGACACCCTGCTGCGCTTTTATATCCTACAAAATAAAATCAGCTTGAATTTGAGCTGAAATTATGAATCATTTCCTTGAATTTCGCAAAATCTCATTTTCAATAAAACATAATGTCACCTTAAAACATCTTGTCGTGTTTTTCTACATATTTTGTAAACTAGAATTGGTTAAATTTGGTTTGAAGCACTGTAAAAAGCGAAATTTTACACGTCCATATTTGAAAAATGAGCTTAAATTATGAATCATTCCCTTGGATTTTGTAAAAGCACAAGTGCAAATTATTATAATATAACTCTTAAGGTAGTCTGGGCGTTGAAAATCTGGTAATAATGAATAGTTAAAACCCTTTCATTAAAAACAGTGAAAAAACAGACGTTTATTTAGTTAGGGCAGTACTTATATGGTGATGATCTAACCAGCTACTAACTCGTATGTTAAAAAAGGCACCTAGTGATGTCCGGTTTAGTTCTTATCCGGTTCACTGATTTGGATATTTAAAATGAGTAATATGAACCGACTCCTAAAATTTTGAATAGTGGGTCACAAATATCTGCCGGATCAGTAGAATCCCCAGTATCATGAAGCGATAAACAAAGGATGCGATATAATTTAGAAGTTCGAAAAAGATTGTTAAAGGTGTATGTTTGGAGCGCGACGCTATACTAGCGCGAAACATAAACGATGATCGCGGCGGAAATGAAAAGGTTAGAAGCGTCTGAAATGTGGTGTTTCAGGTGAATGATAGATAAGGTTATAAGAAGTAGGCAACATAGGTTAGTAGGACACCTTCTCAGGCATGAAGGTCTAGTCAGAGACATATTAGGGGCTGAAACGAGAGTTAAGAGGGGTAGAGGTAGACCTAGATTAGATAACTGTTTGCAAATAGTTAGGATGTGGGTTGTTCTAGTTTTAGGGAAATGCGAATATTAGCTCAAGATAGAAAAGAGTGGAGGTGCGTGTCCAGTCAGTCTTAGGGTGATGACTCGAAATTCGATTAAATAACTGTCTATAGTCTATATAATAGTTCTCAGTTCCCCATTATTTGTTTCGGGCTTCAACAGAACTGAGTCGATCTCAATCCTATTAAAAGCAGACATAGCTACATAATCGAACCACACAGATTCAAGATGCACTGGGATTCTGGAAATGTGAATCTTTGAAATGATCCAGAAGTGATGACCCGACTCTTCAAGAAGATTCGAACTTTTTATCATTAGATATAAGCTTTACTTCGGTGTCTACTATCTAACTGATGACAAGAACAGTATAAATTCTTATTGAGTTCATTTATGTATACCGAAACTTCCTTTACTATATGAAACACATTGACATTCAATAGTGGTCAATACTAATGTGAAAATCCATTTACTTTTCTTGTCTTCTATAAATTATCTTAGTGATAAGAGCATTGGTGCGTAAATCCAAAGGCGCCGGGTTCGACTCCCGGCGAGAGTATAACAACAGCAACAATTTTTTTTCATTATCTAATTTATAGTGGATGAAAAAAGTAAATGAATTTTCACACCTAAGCTTCCGAATAAGGATTTTATAAACTGGCGTGGTGATGAGGTCGAAATTGCGATCCATGTGTAGCAGTGTCATTGAAATACAGATCAAGAACTTATAGTCTCTTAGATTTATACATATGTATAAAGTATTTAAACATTAATTAAGAATTTTAGTAATGTTACTAAGTTAAAACAAAAAATTCACCTAATCAAAAGTAATAATAAGCCTTGCTTACGAATATCTTGGTGCAATTAGTTATTATGAAAATCAAATCAATCAAAAATCAAACAAATAGCTAAGCGTTTTATGTAATGATAAATGGATTTTGCAACGTATCTATCAACATTCATATGCCTTACGCGTTTCTGTACAAAAAAAAAATGACAGTGAAATTTCCTCATTTACCGTTATTGCCAATAGATAAAGTACTGGATAAGTACAACTATTTATTTACATTATTTGTATTAAAAAACTAATTTATTACCACTTCATGATGTACAAGCTTATGTATATAACCACATAACGATATCGATGTATATCTCTGAAAAGATATCAAGATATTTTTGATATACTTAATCTGCTAAAATGGATACAAGGAGTAAAGTTCTTTATATCAGTAATAAACATTTTTATAAAAAAATAATAATAAAAGATTCCAAAAATTCGAAAACTTATAGTGTTCTGTTGGGTCCAGTTCTGTGTGGGGTTGAAAACTATGACAGAGTATGGGAAAATTCCTGCAAATTTCTTCAGCTGTCTTTTCATTAAAATAATATAAATGGAGTCAATAAATGAAACTTAAAACTTTTGTTGTTGTTTGTTGTTGAGGAGTGGTATGCTTTGTCAGAGTTCGGTTAGACAGTTTTTAGAGAAGCGGGCGATATTTTTAGATAGTCATGGTAGAAAAAAATATATTCCACACGTACTTATATCAAATTATGCATTTTCTCCAGAGCAACCTAAAAAGGAAAATGTCGACAAAGAAATGTATAATTTCTATATTCGCTAAGCATATTGCCCTATTTACGAGGGTGGATTGATAAGTTTCCGGCCTGACCAAGAAAAACAAGGTTTTTAAAAATTTTTTTTTTTTATTTCTCAACATAATCTCCTCCAAGGCTGATACATTTCTCATAGCGGTGTTCCAGTCTATTAATGCCATCTCTATAGACTGATTCGTCAAGCTCCTCAAAATAACCATTTACAGCTTCGATTACTTCTTCATTGTCCGCAAATCTCTTACCGCCAAGCCATTTTTTGAGATTAGGGAACAGAAAATAGTCACTCGGGGCTAGGTCTGGAGAGTAAGGAGGGTGCGGCATCAATTCAAACTTTAGATCGTTGATTTTAGCCGTCGCAACGATTGACGTGTGCGCTGGTGCGTTATCGTGATGAAACAAGATTTTTTTCTTCGCCAGATGAGGTCGTTTAATTTTCACCTCGTGGCTCAAACGTTGCAATAAGTCTGCGTAGTATTGACCAGTGATAGTATTACCCTTTGCAAGGTAATCAATGTATATAATACCTCTTGCATCCCAAAAAACAGTAGCCATAACCTTGTTCGCCGAAAAAATTGTTTTTGCCTTCTTTGGAGTTGGTTCCCCTGGTCCAATCCACTGTTTAGACTGTTCTTTGGTTTCAGGAGTGTAGTGGTGGACCCACGTTTCGTCAACGGTTACGAATCGACGCAAAAATTCGCTTGGATTACGCTTATACAATGACAAATTTGCGGTAGAAATGTTTTTTCGAATCAATTTTTGGTCGACTGTTAGCAAACGCGGCACCCATCTTGCACAGAGCTTTTCCATATGCAAATGTTGGTGCAAAATATGTTGCACACGTTCATATGACATCTTACAGGTCTCAGCTATCTCACGCACTTTCAATCTGCGGTCTCCCAGCACTATTTGATGAATTTTTTCGATCATATCTGGAGTTGTGACCTCAACGGGGCGTCCTGAGCGAGGCCCATCAGAGGTGCTCACACGACCCTTTTTAAACTCGGAAACCCACTGCTTAACGGTTGAATATGACGGGGAGGATGTCCCCAGTGTTGAGTCCATCTCTTTTTTAATTTCCTTCGGCGTTAACCCCTTCAAATAAAAGTATTTGATGACAGCACGATTTTCCTGCTTTTCCATTTTTACGAAAACCACAGAGGCGTCTTGTTCAGCGTGCTGTCAAACCTACACTAGCAAGGAGATCGGGCTGAAACTATAGCTACAAGCTATTCAAGGATGGTACTATAGAATGTCACCTCAAGGTAGGCCTAGTGGCGTCATCTCTTGGTTAGGCCGGAAACTTATCAATCCACCCTCGTATATAGTGTATAGTAAACATAAACAAAGTCAAGTATAAATTCTGACAAAGTTATTCCTATTTTCTTTTTGTTCCTGTTCTTTGATTTTGTGTTCATTTTAAATTAAACTTATTTTTAAATAAATCATTCTTCACTGCGTTTATTAGAAAATTGTAATCAGGCCTTTCTTTACTTGTAGTGTGTAGCAGCTACGTTGTTATTTTCACTCATGTTTTCTCACACCATGCGAAACTGTATTATTTCATGCATTATTTTATTTCAATGTCAGACGAAAATTAATAAACCTGACCTTTCCACCCTAATGATCATCTGAAGGCATATGTATAAGGTTGAGTTTTAAATTACCTACAAATGTGTGTAGTTTTGTTTTATGTATATCTATCTATAATAATGCTATACAGTAACATGATCATTTCGATGTAAAATGCAAATATGTTACTATGTTTACGTCCATTTGTCGCATTTGCATATTATTATGCTGGTACCTGTAACTTACGATTAATAGTAGTTAATGCTCTAATTAAAAACACATAATTTCGAAAATGATTGTTAAAAGTGTGTGTACGGATACGAAACATGG